TTACCCAACTCTGTTTATAAAAATAGAGATAAAATTTTATTCAGAATAAACTATGTGGTACAGGGCCCTTCGTTCAATTTATATTTGAGTGTTTGTGTTGTTAGACTGGTTTATGTGCCATAGGCTAAAGGTTTCATAGTGAATGTCCATGAATGATCTTAAATTAGACAATCCTGTAGATCTTCTGAGGAGAGATTATGTTTTTATTTTGTAATCCAATGTACCCTCTTTCTTACCAATGACAGTAGGTTCCAGGTCCACAAATACAGCACGGGGGACATGTTTCCCAGCTCCTGTTTCACTAAAAAAAGTGTTGAAGGAGTCGTCTCCTCCCCCGATGGTCTTGTCACTGGGCATTTGTCCATCGGGTTGGATACCATGTTCCAGGCAGTACAGTTCCCAGCATGCATTGCCCATCTGGGCACCAGCTTGGCCAACGTGCATGGAAATGCATTCACGCTGAAAACAAGGAAGAATGTCATTTAATTCACAGAAGTTCACAGAAACACCATTACATTACTGTTTAGCAGTTTTTATCAAAAGTGATGTACAACAGAGAAATCAGGGACAGTCAGTCCCTGGAGCAACTGCGGTTAAGGGCCTCGTTCAGGGGCCCAATGCTGAAATCATTCAGCTGACCATGGGGACTCAACCAGTGCCCTTCTGATCGTGGGCAGGATTGTAGCTTGCAGAGCCAGAGACTGAAATATATTAATATCAAGGTAAAACAAATATCGCCTCTTCTAACCATAGTACTTAAAGTTACAGGATAGAAATAATAATTTATGTTTGATAATATATGCACCCTGAATGAAAAGAAGCACGTACATGGCAGGGTGGCTGAGCTATCTGCTAGGAGGCTAAAGCTAAATGCTCCCTTGTTTGCCAGTGGAATGTGCTGAGCTTGCACAGGATAAAAAGTAGCATAAATTACTTCAAAACAATGAAGTAATAAATGTAGAGAAAGTAATAACAAACGGAAGTGCACTGAGCGGAAGCGCGCAGTGAATGATGTCATACATGGTCCTGAGGAGGACTTTTAGGAAGCTTTGGTTTAAGCATATCTCCAGAAAGGTCATTAGTAAAAGTATTTTCTAAACAAACAACTTTCTATTCGACTTCTACCCGCACCAGTTCTAATTAATACATCTGATTATTAATTCTAGGTGTCCTATCTTAATTTAGTCTGAATGAATGTAATTATGCTACATTCATATGAGTATTTGGCCCAGTTAGGCTTTACCTCATGAAAACTGAAAGAGTACAGCAACGAACAACAAACATGGAAGCAATCCATCTCCAGCTCTTCTCTTGACAGGGCTACTGGGCAGCCTGAGCCTGTACCAGGCAGCACCGGGCACAAGGCATAGGCACACCCTATACAGGATGCCAGTCCATCACAGGACACACACTCCCTCACTATGGCTATTTCCAGTGTCCAGTTAACCTCACTGCATTATCATACATCTCTTTGGACTGTGGAAGGACAGCGGAGTACCTGAGGGAACCCCACACAACATGTACTGCACACGTATACAGAGTGAGGCAGGAAATCCAGATGAGCCATATTCCTTCCTAATGTAGATATGGATGCTTCAACCTGCTCAGTTGTGTGTTGCAGAGGATATTTCCTTCATTGACTAAGTTCTGTAGATCTGCCCCACGCAGCCACAGAGATGTAAGCAGCATAGCGGGATATTGAGAAAAAACATGTGCTAGGGCGAGATGTGCCTGTGGAGGGCAGCACTGCACCACTGCATCTCATCCAGTGTTTCTCAAACCAGTACTCGGGGACCCCCTGACAGTCCACATTTTTGCTCTCTCCCCAGTTCCCTGGGAGTTGGGCGGGAGCAGAAATGTGGAACGTTTGGGGTCCCCGAGGACTGGTTTGAGGAACACTGGTCAAATTGACTCTGATCTCTGATTACACGTCTCAGAGCAGACAGGCTTTTCAATCCCAGTGATTAGTTCCTGCCCCAGAAGCCACATATTGACTCATTATCTTCCAAAGACATAATTTAGTAGCAAGTTGTGTATTAACTAAATGGCTTTTTCACTGCCTGGAGATTTCCCTGGCACCTAGCCCACAGGCTCCAGAGGTTCTCGATCACGCTGGAGTCCGACCCTCCCCCATCTAGGCAATTTAAGTATACCGTAACAGGGTTCCACAAGTCATACTGCCTCTAGCTACCGTCAGGTAGTTGTATAAACTAGCTAAAATATTGGTTCATTGCTCTACGCATGGATATTTAAAAACTAACCAATTGAATTGAAATTAATGTGAATGTAAGAGAAATCTACACAGCAAAACAATGTTTTAACTCATGTTTAAAAGGCTATTTTGTTATTATCCTAACTAAATTTATAAAAGCGACAAACAAACACATTTCAAATGCGCATCAAATGTCAGCACTCACCATTTTAGTGGATATTCCTTCAAACCGATGCTGAGGATTCGGGATGTGAAGGCAGGAATGCGGGAGGAGGGCTGAGGCTGCACTTTTATAGTGGGAGGGATGACGGGGCAGGAAGCTGATTTGCCGATGGCTGGAGCAGTGGTGTTGTGGGCTGTCCTCAGTGTAACCAACCCCCTGTGCTTCCTGTGTCAAAGATGTTAGGCTCCGAGAGCCTGCACACATTGCCTTGGGAACACATAAATATAGCCAACAATTATATGCACATGCACACTTTATAATTTAATACCCTCTCACAGCATGACAACACAAGTTAGACGTTACATTTCTCTGTATGAATAGGTGCAAACGAAACGATTGGATCGGTTCCTGCATTTCAAGGATCCTGCCCTGTGGGGGTTGAGGGAAACAATAGTGTGAGTTTACACCACCTGTGAGGAAAACAAAGGCTGGATATTATAGACAAGCCAAAAGGAATCAAAGAGTAACAATGCCTCAGTGTAAAGCTTCAATCACATTGTTTCTACAGTGTAACTTCGTATATCCTGTTTATATGTTTCTTGAGACAAAATGACGTACATATTGTATTAATATCCATTGGTATAAGGATCTAAAATATCATTTTTAGGTGAGCAGATTTTTTGTGGCGAGAATACATATATTTTTGTTGAACTATATTTCCATGAGAATACTGTATGTGCTCCTCTTCTAATAAACATAAATAAAGGTCTGCAAGTTCAACAAGGCCTACTGATCCCCAAAATCACCATCAGACTCTGGCTGTACTAGGGCCAGTTTTTTTCATTGGTCAGGTTTAGGTCGGGTTCAGGCTTAGTTTGTGTTTATAGCGCTAAGGGGGACTCTGTAATTGCAGCGGTGCCTGCAGAAAGTTTGGACGGGGTGTCCATCAGGGAAGAGCGTACGTTTGGTAACAGCACTGATAGGGACCAATCAGCCCCAACCCCCTGTAAAAACACACAGAACTCCCACAAAATGGGTCGGGACACGTTCCCACCACCCATCCTTAAATCTACGCCATTGCCATAAGTGGCCAATTATGTTTATAAGGGTGTCTGCACAGCACAGTGTCTCTTCTGTGGTTCTGCTTAGAAATTAAAATAAGCCATATTTCTTTTTTATTATTTCGATTATCATCTTTACGTGGGGTGGTGAAAGAGGTGGCCTTATATTTACACCTCTGTGTAAAAGGCGTTAGCAAAGTGGACATGGAAATAAAAACAAAATTGATAAGTTTGAGCTTTTGACCCTCCAGAATAGTTCAGGGAAATCAGGGGAAGCAGAAGGAAATTTTACTATAAAAATGCTTGAATTATTATTCTTTAAAGTTGACAAAGATTTAGAGCAGGGGTTCACAATGTCCAGACTGCGGTCTGGACGCAGACCGATTCACACGTTAATCCAGAACCAGCTGATAAATCACCTTATGAATCAATATGGTTAATGTGAAAAGGCTTGATGTGGTTTGAAGTTCAAAAATCCAGTGTAGAACAGCCAAATTTCAAGAATTTTCTAATGTCATTTTTCTCATCTCAACAAGAAGTGTGTGCATCCTGATTTGCTCAAATTAATAGTAGCTTTTTTATTTTCCCTATGCCTATAGACCTACATGTTATGAGGAGGGACTAGATGCAAATTATTTAATTTTGCTTTTAAAATCACATGTGTGTATGACAGCATGACTGTGTGTTTATTGTGTGCCTGTGTGAATTTGCAGATTGGGTCGAGTTGGGCCTAAATGTCAGTTCAGGAGGACAGCTGAGGCTCTGAGGTGATTTGTGGTGAAAGCAGAGTGAATGACTCAAACAGAACTCGCTGCTGCTTCCCTCCAACATTCCAGATCTCTTTACGGACAGTCCTGTGATGTCACTGTTTACATTGCCGCAGTTCAGCTTTTGGTTGCTGTTGTTTACCTACAGTCGGGGGTCTAGGGAGGTAATTGGATAGCGGAAATGTGGCAGGAAATGTGGCCTTTCCTAATTGTTCCAAAATTGACCACTGTGCTTATATTTTTTTACAGACTTTGCTCTATGCAGAGCATTAACCTCTAAATCCCTGAAAAAAAATAAAGTGCTCAAAAATAATGGCTCCAAATGTTATTTGTCAAGAGAAGAGCTGATTTAATTAGATTATGAGAAATTACTAGATGTTTGGAGAATCACATTATATTCATGTTTGTAAGTGAAAAGAGCTGTTTCACACAGGGCTGGAGAGAATGGACACTTTATTTGGGGTATCGGTTTATCAAACAGAGAGGTACAAAAAAAGACACTCCTTTAATCTTTAGTATAATGCAAATATGCTGGGGAAAAACATGCAAATTAAAATTTTAAAAATGCAAATGCAGAATTAAACAAAAAACTGGTAAAGAACATGTTGTTGAACACTCCAGAATTGTATTATTATTATTACTATTATTATTATTATTATTATTATTATTATTATTATCTAATTACATTTGGTTTAGTTTAAAATGCTGTACTCAAAAATTCCACATTAAAAAATGAATATTGCCAATGTTAATAAAATATTAAATGCTAGTAATATTATCAAATCAAACTTCCATATACATTTTATACTTTAATATTCCTCTCCCTCCTCTTCCCCTTCGTCCCCCACGCTGTCGGTGCCGACCTCTTCATAGTCCTTCTCCAGGGCTGCCATGTCTTCACGGGCTTCAGAAAACTCTCCCTCCTCCATA